TTATGCAAAATTTTTCTCTCGTATGTATGTAAAAGTAAAAATAAGGAAATTTTGTGAAAATTCCAATGTCTCTCAAAGATACATTTCTATATTATTCGATCGGTATTTGAACGATCATTGTTCTAGCAACCACCGATGCTTTCATCTAAAATCGATTGACAGCCTCTATCCCGAATATTCGTATGATATTCGCATTTCAGATTGATATAGAATACGATACGAAAGAATCGTATCGTATTCTATCATCAAAGTCGAATCTGTCTATTTCTGTAACCGATTTGCATTACACAAACATTAATCTCACAATATCAAACGTCATCACTATATTTTTATAAGTCATTCTTTTTACAGCAGATTAAATTGATTTTAATTACGAATCACCGCTTCGAATTCGTAGTTTCATAATCCTTTTCTATTTTCACAGTGATCACAAGTCAGATCAATCGTAAATACGTCTCTCAGAGAAGAAGAAATCGAATCAAAAAAAGTATGCACAAGTAAAGAAATACTGTGTATTAAAATATTAATTTATTTTACAAAATACAGAATAAACATTTGATGTCTATTCTATAAAATCTCTCCTCATCTCTTTTTCAAAATGGAACTCATTCCTGCTACTTTCAATGATCACAAGTCAAAACAATTATAAAAAGAATGAGAAATTGAGTAAAAAAAGTACACACAAGTCTATCTATCTATCTCTAAAATACTCTGTATTAAAATATTAATTTCTCTTACAAAATACAAAATAGACATTTGATATCTATTTTAGAAAATCTCTCCTCCTCACCTCTTTTTCAAAATGGAACTCATTCCTGCTACTTTCAATGACCACAAATTAAAACAATTGTAAAGAGAATGAGAAATTGAGTAAAAAAAGTACACACAAGTCTATCTATCTCTGAAATACTCTGTATTAATTTATCTTACAAAATACAGAATAGACATTTGATGTCTATTCTATAAAATCTCTTCTCCTCACCTCTTTTTCAAAATGGAACACATCCCTGCTACTTTCAATGATCACAAATCAGATAAATCGTAAAAAGAATGAGAAATTGAATAAAAAAAATATATAACTTATATACATATAAGTAAAGAAAATTCCCAAAATAAGTAAAGAAATATTAAAACATTAATTTATTTTATAAAATACAGAATGCAAAATCTCTCCTTCTTACCTCCTTTTCAAAATGGAACACAAAAGTACACACAAGTACAATCTATCTATCTATCTCTGAAATACTCTGTACCTCCTTACCTCTTTTCCAAAATCGAATACAATCACGGTGAATAGATTCTAACTAGATCGTAATATATTTCAACCGGAAATCGATGCCTCGATTTAACAATCCCCCCTTTTCTTCCTCCTCCTCCTTCTTTTCCTCCTTCTCCTTTTTCTCCTCCTCCTCCTCTTTCTCCTCTCTCCTTCTTTTTCTCCTCCTTCTCCTCTTTCTTCTCCTCCTCCTCCTCTTTCTTCTCCTCCTCCTCTTCCTCTTTCTCCTTCTCCTCTTTCTCCTCCTCCTCCTCCTCCTTCTCCTCCTCCTCCTCCTTCTCCTCCTTCTCCTCCTCTTTCTCCTCCTCCTCCTCGTTCTCCTCCTCCTCCTTTTTCTCCTCCTCCTCCTCTTTCTCCTTTTTCTCCTCCTCGTTCTCCTCCTCCTCCTTTTTCTCCTCCTCCTCCTCTTTCTCCTCTTTCTCCTCTTTCTCCTCCTCCTCTTTCTCCTCCTCCTCTTTCTCCTTCTCCTCCTCCTCCCGCATATCCGGAGGTTCAGCTTGATCGGCCATAAATATACGGAGGGGTGGAGGCTGAGGAAAGCAGAGTCTCGGGGGAAAATGAAGGGGGATCGTTGTAGACCAGAGACAGAGGGAATTCGGTCTACCCGCTCGCCGCCTCCACCGCCGCTTGGAACGCCGGTTGCCGCTGGTATTTCAACGTCGCGTGACTTCCGGGCTTGAGGGGGCTTGATTGAAACGCGAGTTGTGTCGGCTGCGGTTGCGTTCCACGTGCGCCATATCATTCTCTCTCTCTCTCTCTCTCTCTCTCTCTCTCTCTCTCTCTCTCATTCTCTCTCTGCGGATTTCTCCAATTCGTTCGCATCTACAAGAATATTCTAAATAACAGCGAAGTTATATACGCGTACAACGTGTTCCTTCGAATCTTTTCATTTGTTCTGATTTGGAACGATTGATTAACGATCGATCATCGTCGTCTTACTTTTTAACGCTATAATTTTTATAGTTAGTTAACAGGTCGATTATATATATATATTAAGTGTATAATTAATAATTAGTTGCATTTATTGCGTCAGGAATACGATGGAATTAATCGATGGAATTTATAGATTTAACTAGATTATAGATTTAATTTTTGTCAATTGTTGGCTCGATCGCTTGTGCGCCTGATGAATTGGAATAATTGGATTGCTTAGTTCGATGGAATGCACATTTTCTTTTTTTTTTTTTTTTTTTATACACCAATCGAGCCAATTGTTTTTCATTGCATCGAGAAAAGCGATAAGGATATTCGAATTTCAAAAGCCGATAATTCGCGATGTGTTTAAAATGTTATTTGAATTTTAATAAATCGGGACAAATATGGAAGCATGTGTCCGCTCTCGTTTCTCGTCTCGTGATAAATTTTTCATGTTTTCTTTCTCGAAAAAAAAAAAAAAAAAACGAAATTTCATATGCGAAAGTTTTTCCTCCACCTTTTCATTCATTCATTCATTCATTCTTTCGTATACTAAATTTCAATAAAAACGTAAAAACGTTTCATTCGTTTTTCACAGAATATTGGGCAAGATGCACGTGAAATTTTTCCAGATCTCTTGTTATTAAAATATAAATCCATTTACGCTATTTTTTCTCTCTCTCTTTTTTTTTTCTTTCCCACGTAGAAATAAATATCGCGATCGATTTCGAAATCATCTATACGTTATATTTTTTTTTTTTTCCTGTTCCTTTTCTCTCCGTTCTGGGAATTTATTTTAAAGAAGTCATTGATTATTTACATATATACATACATACATACATACATACATACGAACGACAAAAAGATAAAAGATAAATAAATTGTGCAAATAATTTAATTTAATTGGGAAACATGTAATTATCGAGAGATGATGTAACGGGGGGATGGAAAATTAAAACGGTTATAATAATAATAATAATAATAATAATAACAATAACAATAACGATAATAATAACAACAACAGCAATAATAGCAATTATAAAAATAATAGAGATAACGTGCCGTTGAATTTACCAAATTTCATTCACTGGAAACCCAGTGTTCCGTTGACATTTCTAATTAAACCGTTTTAATAATTTCTACAAGTTGCTACAAACCCCTAATGAGAATTTGTTATTGAAATTTTGGCCGCATCATGCAAATGTCACGTGTTAATTTCATCACGTGTTTTGTTATTGCAATGTTTATTACGAATATCTTTGTACCGTTAATTTACATTCAATTTTATCTTAATAATTAAAAAAAAAAAAAAAAAAAAAGAAAAATGAAACGGCAGCTATTTTAATCTCTAGAATTAATTTATAGAAAACGAATTTTGCGAATTCAGAATTTTTATCGTATCGATAGAAATAACAAATGTAGGATATCGTACGTTTAATCGCATTACGCGTATCACTATATGTAAATTTAATCCGCGTTGGAAAATGTTCGATGGAAAAGCAAATCCGTTATAATAAAATAATGAATTAATTAACAGTTTAACAAATTGGTCAAAAGTGATGTGTTTCAATCTCGTTGAAAAAGTTTTTTCATTTTTTCAAACGGACGATCTGTTGACGAAAGATGGAAATTTTTGTTTCTTTTTTTCTTTTTCTTTTCTTCTGCTATAGCCTCTGCTCCGCTCAGATTGGGAGATCGAGATTGTCTCGCCGTCTGAGAAATCCATTTCCGATCCTCAAACGAAACGGGATTAAAAGCTAACCGGGATTTTAGATTTTTCTTTCTCGGGATATGACTGAAAGTCGTTCGTGACTCGTTGATTAATCATTCCATTCAATTTTGTATAATTTTTGCCTCCTTTTGTAAGGAAATAATATATATATATTATATTTTAATTATTATAATTATAAAATTATTTTTCGAAATAATATAAATAAATATATATATATATATATATATATATATATTATTTCGAAAAATAATTTTCTCGAGAATCGTTTCAAAATTTCAAAAGAGTTTATTCTTATAAATAAAACACGAATCTTCTCCAAGTTACGTTCCAAGAATTTCAATCCCTATTTGAACGCGTATAACGCGCAATGTGACGCGTTATCGAATAATTTCGGGCAAATAAATCCGCTACGTAAATCGGCCGTTCGGTAATTCCAAGCCAAGGATTCGGTAATAAGATTTCTCACCAAATATGTAGCAACGCTGCTACATTCATGAGTGTGGTGCGGATGGTGCACAGGCAGAGAGAGAATCGTCCATGGAATGTTGGCTCGCGGCCAAGTCTCGTTGCTTTTTCCAAACAACTGTCGCTCCCTCTTATCATTTCTTAACTTCTTGGTCGACCACTTGACACGATGCGTTCGATCCAGATGGTCGATCTCGAACGTTAGAATTCATTTAGCGTATTAATTAGTGTTTACGTTTAGATTAAAAAAAGAAGAAAAAAAAAGAAAAGAAGATGTTGTTGCACATTGTGACACAGAATATTGATTACTAGAATTTTTTTTTAGTTTATCCAATCGATCGAATTATATTTGAGCACAGTATAATTGATCTATGACATTTAATGACATTATAATATGAAAACTAACGATGTTTCTCTTCGAGATAATTCTGGAAATATTCATCGATAATTTGTATTTTATATGATTTGTGTTAGAATAATAAAGTTAATATTATTGTGATGATGCAGTAAATTAATTTTTAATATCTTTTTTTTATTTTTTTTTTTTTTCTTTGGAATATTAAAAATTTCACGAGTTGTTGAAGTGGGGAAAAAAAGTACATAAGAAGTTTTATTTTTTGAAATGAAAATTTATTTTTTTTTTATCTAAATGAAAATTTTTCACTTTACATTAATTATCTTTTTGAGCACTCTTATTAATTTCATTTAATCAATCCTTTCAACCATTTCACCTTTATGATTAAGGTCGTATGATGGCGTTCCAGGATCAATTATACTTCTTTCACTTCGACTTATTGTCTCTGTTTTTTTATTTTGATTATTTTCGCTGTTATTGTTAACATTTTTGACTTTATCATCTTCGGCGTTTGCATTGTTCGTGTTTTGTTGCTCGTTTTGTTGCTCGTTGTCCGACATTGTTGCCTAACAATTTATGTTACACATAATATTTTATGAGAATTTTATTATTTATCACAAATCTTATTCATAATTATAATATAATACTTTGTACTTTAATTTTAACATTTTTTCTATATATCACTACATATTAATCAATTTATCATTATAATTACAAAATATTTAAATAATATATGATCTAAATTGAACGAAACGTACGTACCGGAAGTGATAGTCGCTCTATGAAATAATTCAAAAATAATAATTCAAAATGAATTCCCACAAAATTTGATTTCTCCAGATCAATTTTTATAATTATAATGCTGTTCGCTTTGCAATGCTCTCTTTTATACTACCACTTGAACATTTTTCCGTTATCTTTTATTCGCTTTTTTCTTCTTTCATTTTCTTTATTATCTGTCTCTCTCTCTCTCTCTCTCTCTCTCTCTATCTATCTATCTATCTCTGTCCCTCCTTTTATATCTCTGTCCCATATATCTTCTTTCCTTTATTTTTATATTTCTCTTATCTGAAAATCTTTATTATTATTTATTATTGGAAATTATATCTTATCTGGAAATATTTATGATAATATACTCATATTATCATTATCCATTCATTTATTCATTCATTCATTCGTTCGTTCCTTTGTACTATTGTTTTTTCGAGTAAATTAATTTATTATCAAATATTATATAACATTTTTACTTATTGTTAAACAATGATGCAATGTTTTTTTTTCCCCTTTATACTTTCTATTTATTTTAAAATTCGATGATTATATAGAGTTTATTTATTTATTTATATATAATAGATTCACATATAATCTTTGTGATTTATTCTGATATTGATATTAATTAATATTTCATGTAAATAATTATTTATCGAGAGTAATAATATGTTACGATTATGTATATTACGTATATTAATTACGTTGATTACATAAACTTTGAATTTAAATTTTAATTGTTACATAGAGAATCTTAAAATAATATTTTTTTTAAAAATAAAAATTTTTTGAAATAAAAATAATTTTTTTTTAAATAAACATTAATGAAATATTATTATTGTTCGTTCGATTCGTTTCATTATATTTATATTTATTTTCATCCTTATTATATCGAATATCTTCAATAGTTATAATTGAATTTTTAATATTTGTATTTGTATTTTTTTTTTTCCAAATATACATACACGTAAGTGTTTGAATAATGATAAAATGTGTCATGTTAACATGTTATGATATATACACAACATATCCAATAGTTAAGATTCTTAAATAATATTTTTCAATATTATTTATTTACTATATTATTCATTTCATTGATTAGATTATATATATGATTTTATAAATATGCGTATAAAGATATCGCAAAAATTAATAATATGAAATTAACAATTCTGTAAAAAAAAATTTTTACAGAAAATTCTATAATTCTGATTTAAAATTAATCAAGAATCGTGAATTATAATTTATTAAATTTTTATACGAAGAAATGTATTGTAATAATTGATATTAAGCAATAAAAGAAAAATACGAACATATATATATATATATAAAATTATATATAATTTTGTTTTAATATTTTATATATATAAAAATTAATATGTATAAAATTGTATAATTACAATTTACAATTTTTCTAGAAATATGAATATTGACATTAAGCAATACAAAAAAAAAAAAATACGAACATATATATATATATATGATTTTGTTTTAATATTGTATATAAATAAAAATTAATACGTATTGTACGTATTACAATATTTCTAGAAATACACTTATAAATATATACTCAAAAATGACAGATTAACGAGCGTTCAAATCAAATGATTTATTTATTAGCTCATCGGATCTAATAAAAATATCGTGTCGAAATTGTATTGTACGATAAATTAATTTTCAACGATACGTCGTTTCTATTAATACTATTAGATATGGCCTTAATGATCGTGGAACGGAATTTTAAAAACTCTGTTTTCAACATCAACAGAATTGGTTCGTGCCCTACTTTTAATTCTCGTTATTCTTCTACTTTTATTCTTCGTTTGTCATGTCTTCGATACAGCGCGATTTCTGTTTTCTTTTAATCATTTAATGATTATGTTTCAATCGTTTAATTCATCCTTCGATTAGGAGAACGTATCGATACTGGGATTCAAACTATTCAAATTATTCGAAAATTTTTAAGTTCGACTCTTTCCCTTAGGAGTGGTTTGTTTACGAACAATGTTCGAAATAATATTAAATTTTTATTTTTTATTTTATCTGTTCGCCGATCTATCGTGTCAATTTGAATTGTAAATTATATCTTTGCGCGCAGATTAGATATCAATGACTATGTTCATAGAAATTTTGATGTAAGTAAATATTTCAGAAAACTGAGTTTGTGAAAAATTGTGTTTCGTGAATTCATACACAAATTAATTACAAACTAATTTACGGATAAGAGAATAATTTGTTTATAAATTATTCATGAACGATGTTGATCTTACATTACTTTCTTCGATTCTCTTTTTTCCTTAATTTACATTCTAATTCTAATTCATTATAGTTTTCATAAATTATATATTTATAAAAAATAATTATTCGTTTCCTTTCTGAAGTATTATCATCACGCGTAACATTTTATAAAGACTTTTTTGAAAATGGATAAAAAATTGAAAATTTTTGAAAATTTTGTCAAAAAATTTCATTCGTGGAAATATTCGCGTGAGTGTGGAATGTGGAAGTGTTGAGTGAATAGATTAAACACGGTTGAAATTACGTTATTAATTCTAAAAATATACCAATATTCTTGAGTCAGAGTCGAGATGGTGTTTTTTCTATATAAAAAAAAAAAAAAAAAAAAAAAAAAAATCCATTTTTCCAGTTTTCGTTCGTACACTTTCGTGACTTTTTTTTGTTTTTACCTATAATCCAAATATATATGATCGATGGACGCGTGTTTTCTCTCCCCGATTGCATGGCAAATCCGAAGTCGATAATCGTGAGAAACGAAATATTTTGCTACTCGAGCGTATAATACTTGTTTAATACTGATTACTTTTTTTTTCACATTCGTACAAGTGTGCAAGATTTATATTCACTTCCGTGTCCCGATTGACGGGGAGAGAGGATTTATTTTCAGAATGAACGAAGCGAGGCAATTTTCAATTTGTAAAATCGAAAAATTATGAGCGCAATCTTCGATCGTAATTCGCGATAAATGCACTCCTGCGTTAAAATTGCGATCGGGAAGAATATCGTGAATCAAGAAGAAAATTTTCAGAATTTTATATTATTCGTTTTACGATATTATAATTTGATGATAATAAAGTAAATGTATATAAAGTGATAGTGATAATAATTTGCAATCGAAATAATATAGCATGTAACAAGAGTATAATTTGATATTTTATATTATCTTCTTTGTTACTTGACGGTTCTTTGTTACCATCATTTATGATAATAATACTAATTTGATTAATTTCTATATTTCCTTTGTACAGAGAAAGAAAAGAATGCAAATCAAGAATACAACTTTGAAAATTTTCTCTACTCTTCTCTATTTGTTCTTTTTCCTTTCATTTCTACATCTTGCTTTCTTTTCTTTCCCTTCCATTTTACTTTATTCCCTTCTACATTATTCTTTTTCTTTTTTTTCTTTTTTATTTCCTTCTCTTCTTTTCCAAAATATCAAGTGACTCTTCAAGAAAATGTATCATAAATCTCTTTCTTTTTTCCTCACGTTTTAACAGATTCTTAAAAAGTCAATAATCATAGTCACTTCCTTTTTATTTCCATTTCTTCTTTTCCAAAATATCAAGTACCATTTTTTCAATGAAATATACATCACAAATCTTATTTTTTTCTCATATTTCAACAGAATCTCTCCTTAATTAATAATCATAGTCACTTCTTTTTTATTTTTTAATAGATTCAATAATCATAGTCACTTCCTTTTTATTTCCATTTCTTTTTTTCCAAAATATCGAGTGTTCTTCAAGAAAATGTACAAATTTCTATTTTTTTCTCATTTTTTAACAGATTCTTGTCATAGCCAATAATCATAGTTACTTTCTTTTTATTTCCATTTCTTCTTTTCTAAAATATTACCATTTTTTCAACAAAATATATACCACAAATCTCATTTTTTTCTCACGTTTCAATAGATTCTCGCCTCAGTCAATAATAATAATCATTTTTTTTTTATTTTTTAACAGATTCTCTCCTTAGTCAATCATAGTCACTTCTTTTTTATTTTTTAACAGATTCTCTTTTTAGTCAATAATCCATAGTTACTTTCTTTTCATTTCCATTTCTTCTTTTCCAAAATATCAAGTACCAATTTTTCAATGAAATATACATCACAAATTTCATTTTTTTCTCACGTTTCAACAGAATCTCTCCTTAATTAATAATCATAGTCACTTCTTTTTTATTTTTTAACAGATTCTCTCTTTAGTCAATAATCCATAGTTACTTTCTTTTTATTTCTTCTTTTCCAAAATATCAAGTACCAATTTTTCAATGAAATATACATCAAAAATCTCATTTTTTTCTCACAGAATCTCTCCTTAATTAATAATAATAGTCACTTCTTTTTTATTTTTTAACAGATTCTCTCTTTAGTCAATCATAGTCACTTCTTTTTTATTTTTTAACAGATTCTCTTTTTAGTCAATAATCCATAGTTACTTTCTTTTTATTTCCATTTCTTCTTTTCCAAAATATCAAGTACCAATTTTTCAATGAAATATACATCACAAATTTCATTTTTTTCTCACGTTTCAACAGAATCTCTCCTTAATTAATAATCATAGTCATTTCTTTTTTATTTTTTAACAGATTCTCTCTTTAGTCAATAATCCATAGTTACTTTCTTTTTATTTCTTCTTTTCCAAAATATCAAGTACCAATTTTTCAATGAAATATACATCAAAAATCTCATTTTTTTCTCACAGAATCTCTCCTTAATTAATAATAATAGTCACTTCTTCTTTATTTTTTAACAGATTCTCTCTTTAGTCAATCATAGTCACTTCTTTTTTATTTTTTAACAGATTCTCTTTTTACTCAATAATCCATAGTTACTTTCCTTTTATTTCCATTTCTTCTTTTCCAAAATATCAAGTACCAATTTTTCAATGAAATATACATCACAAATCTCATTTTTTTCTCACAGAATCTCTCCTTAATTAATAATCATAGTCACTTCTTTTTTATTTTTTAACAGATTCTCTTTTTCAATAATCCATAGTTACTTTCTTTTTATTTCTTCTTTTCCAAAATATCAAGTACCAATTTTTCAATGAAATATACATCAAAAATCTCATTTTTTTCTCACAGAATCTCTCCTTAATTAATAATCATAATCACTTCTTTTTTATTTTTTAATAAATTCTCTCTTCTAACAGATTCTCTCCTAGTCAATAATCCATAGTTACTTTCTTTTTACTTCCATTTCTTCTTTTCCAAAATATCAAATGTCCCTCAAAAAAATGTACAAATTTCTATTTTTTTTCTCACGTTTCAACAGATTCTCCCCTCA